TTGCTATGCAACAACACTAACAGCTAGCGAACGTATTAGACAGATCGATTATTTGGCTATTTATTTACATGAATGTGTATGTTGTTTATTGTGCAGCCACTGAAAACCTGTCCAGCATCAGTAGCATGGCTTACGAGGTCACTTGTATAGGTTGAGGTTGTTGCTTTGCGTGGCGAGTATATTGCTCCACTCTCTCCGGTCAGTCGGTCTACCTGCTCTTCACGACGCTCTGCATGTCGTCGTTTAGGTGCTTTATGGAGATAGGCACTGCTGCTCAATCCACTCCTCCACAGTAAGGCCACCCCGGAGGTCGAAGTTAACCTTAAATGTTTCCATCTTGAGCTTTGTTAGTTCGTTAGTTTCGTAATGGACGTAATGTAACAGCTGTAATGGTTTTAGCGGTTTTAACGGGGGGGAAAAAGGACTCCAATACTCCCTGGTGTTAGATTTATTTTCTAACCTCTCGTCTTTTCGTCTCTTCAGGTGGATTCGGTGGTGGCGGCGGAGGAGGCTTCTACGGCGGAGGAGGAGGAAACGACGGCGGATACGGAGGAAGCTACAGCAACTCCGGCAGCGGCACGGATTGGTGGGGGAACTAGTTGCCGACAGGAACGGGTTGCCTTTTTTTGCCAACCGCACCCAATGGAAACCACATGTTAACTTAAAGGCCAGACCATAACTAAATAAAAAAACACACCCTTTACCCTGTGTAGCTTCACTGACACACAGTACATTACCAACCCTGGTTCTCTGCCATTCGCTTTCCTCTACACAATGGGAAAAGTGCAGCAAAGCAGCGCTACGCTAAAAACAAGAAAACACGGAAAGCCACCAGCAGCACAGAGACTGCAGCGCAACGGGAGAAAAACAGAGAAACGCACCTCAGAGCGAGCATGGATGCTGACGTTGCAAAATGTCCGACAGCAACTTCGGACTTCTTTCATTGTTATAAAAAGTATTTTTGTTCTTTTTTGTGGAAATAAGGCGGGAAGAAACAAATGGAAAGAACACCTGAGGATCATTTGTATGTTAATGTACTGTGCCTTCTGGAATTTAGACAGGAAATATAAATATATATCCATGTTTTCATTCCACCAGATGGCCAAGAGCTTTCTCTCTCTTCAACAACAAAAATAATTTGATTTTACGATATTTGTTTGGTGAAAAAAAGGAAAAAGGTAAAAAAAAAAAGAAGGAAATAAGCAAATCCAACCTTGGCAAACACGGGGGTATTGTGGTTCTGACGTCATGATTCCATTTGAACTTCAAATTTAATCCCAGGAACATCTCGTAGCCTTTTCGATAGTCTACAAACAGCTAATGGAGCCATTACCAAGTCTAACTCCAACTGGGCCACTCCGTGAAGCATTTTAAAATCCGAAGGGACAACGTTTTCTTTGTTTTGCTCACTCTATCCTGGACAGGCTCCTTTTTAAATGGATAGTCTTTGAAAAAGCCATTCCTGATGTAATCTTAAGAAACACGAGAAGTCATTAAAGCTCCGACGCGAGAATCGAAGCTCCAGCGCGTTTCAAAATATTGACTTGACAGTGTTACGGCAGCTAGTATGTAACCAAGTGCTAGCTATCGTTAAAGTGGGCGGTGTTTTTTGTTTCTTTATTTTACTTGGGACAGTTTTGGCGGTGTGTTGTGAAATCAAAAAAAAAAACAGCTTTTTTTTTTTTTTTTTCTGAAAACAAAAAATGCCTGCCATCTTTGAAAGTGAAGTTCAAAATGGCCGCTGCATAAAGGACCACAGCATCGGGGGGGCACAGCGTGGTGTTAGTGTTTACTGAATCAGCCGCTGACGGGGGAGGGGGGGCGGCCCCATCATTGGTATTCTACGCTTGCAAGTGTTTTGTTTTTTGGTCAAGGAACAGGAAGGACACGAGAACTGAGTCGCAGGCTTAACTTAATTACGAACGTTTTCTCTTTTTCAAGCTGCGTTGGAGGCAGGGTTCATCACTGAGGCTTATCGGGGAGAACAGCGCAGGGTAGAGCGACACTTTTCCTCCTGAAAAGATTCAGTCAGTGCATCGTTACCGTCGCGGCCTTGGCTTCCCCATTGCCGCGCTGTGACACTGTGGAGGCGGCCGAAACATGACGGGCCGTTTCCTCCTTTAAATAAAGTCAGGTATATAAAACTCTGTGGCTCCGTGAAGCCAGGTTTTTCCTCTCAAAGAGGAGCAGCCAATGGAGAGGGGGAGACAGCGCTCCTCATCGGGTGCCTTGAAAACCTTTATTTTGTTTTGTTTTTACTTTTAAGAAATTGATCTAAAAAGCGGATGCACTGGCTAGTGTTGAGAACTTGAGATTGATAGGTGCTACTTGATTTAGGCCCTTGTTCGTCGTCGTCGTCGTGCCCATCAAGTTTTACAAGAAAGTTCTTTTATTGCACATCTAGAGTTTTATATAGATGTCTTCTTGGATATGTGTCCTTAAAGCTTCCAAATATTGTGTGTGAGGAGATTGTGAGAAAACGACGCAGCTTGTTTACAAAGGGGACAGGTTCTCAACGTTTAAACCAGGATTTATTTGGGACCAGGGGATTTAGCAGTCTTGGGGGGAATTTAGCCATTTGCACAGATTTCTAGATTCTACTTTTGCTGCTAGTTTTGTGTAATTTATTAAGCATTTTTGACAAATATTTATTTTTGTAAGCCTCAAAGTGATTCTTTGAAAGTTTCAGAAACTTGACCAAAAGACAGTACAAAAAACACTGGCACTTGAATGTTGAATGTCACCTGTATGCGTGAAATTTATATATTTCGGGGTAGTGTGAGCTTTTTAATGTTTAAGATACATTGGACTCAGTAAATAATATCCACAGCTGTTTTCAGGGCCTCCTCAGGGCCGCTCATCTTATCTATATATATTAATTGGTCAACAAAATTTGAAATGGAATTGAACCAACATGCCAAGGTTTGGAAATAAAGCTGTCAGAGCATCAAAATCTCCTGAAGCATATCAGTGCTGACTCTCCAATCGTGTGATCTTATCTCTAATTTGACCTGATGATTTTCTCCAGTGAATGTCTGGCACATGGCAATCCTTAAAGAAACAAACATGTGGTTTATTCTCATTGTTGTATTTTGCATATATGACGCTTCTGGATTTTTTTTTTTCTGCGTGCACGTGGAGAACGTCGTTGTTTTTCCTGCGTGAAAAACCTTCGAGGCGTTCTCCACGTTCCCTCGGAGAACCCCGGAGCTCTTTAGACGTAGACTTTGCTTTCTGTATTAGCTTAGAAGCTACTTGCACTGCATGGGAAATACTCAGCTGTGCAAACAAATTGTTTGATTTTACCAAAATAAAATGTTTGAATGCAAAAAAAGTTCTCCTGAAAACTCCAGCATGCTTCCACTGTTTCCTAGAATCTGTAGCAGCAGCTGGTTTAGGACGGGCTTAATTTCCTTTGGACTCAATATAAAGTTTTCATTTGTAAATTCAGCTGTGTGCTTCGTGTTTTGGTTGAAACGTTATTCACTTTTTCACTATTTTTCTCCTTAATGCCCCGAAAAAAGAGGTTGACTCTTAGAAAATGTAGTCAAAGCCTATTTGGGATTTATTCGTTTGCCTGCATATAAATATGTACAATTAGCGAGAGCATTTAACCTGTTTAGCTCTCAGGCTAAAAAATGACTATCTTCACTTCTAAAAGGGGTAAATTAATCTTTTTCTCAAAGCAATGATAAACCTGTGAGTTGGATGTAGAAAAGTCAGAATCAATATAGAATTGTTTTTATTTTAAAGTAAATTCAGATTGAACACAGTAAAAAAAAAAAAGAAGTAAATTATAGTGTCTGTCCAAAAATAACCCATTACTTATAATGAAAACCACCCTTGCATGATGGGACAGTAGACTAAAAGCTTTAGGAATCCACACTATAACATAAGTACCCTGTATCAAGATTGATGCAAAACAAGTGAAAGTTGACCTTTTTAGAGATTTAAAACACTTCTGGGGTCATTTGGGTGGTTTTGCCGTTTCTCTGGAACCCATTGGTCGATTTTGATGGACATCGCTTTTGAACCGTTAGGGAAATTAAGTCATGATAAATATTTGTACAGGCTTTAGACAAAGACTACATTTTAAGAAACGAATAATAAAAAATGTGTATTGTTTTGTCAAACCAGGGTTAAAGGCTGTAGAGTTTATTCACTTTCACTACTTTTCTCTTTAATGACCCAAAAAAGGGATTGAATGTTAGAAAATGAAGTCAAAACCTAATTGGATTTCTTTATTTACTTAAGTCATAAATAAAACCATAGAAGAAGAAATATGTTCACAGACAAAGCTAGCTACAAATGCTAAGAAACGAGAATAATTAAAAATGTGTGCTTCATGTTTTGTCAAACCAGGGTTAAAGGTGGGAGAAACGTTATTCACTATTTTTCTCCTTAATGACCCGAAAAAAGGAGTTGAGTCTTAGAAAATGAAGTCAAAACCTTAATAGGATTTCTTCGATTACTTGATTATAAATATGTACAATTAGCGAGAGCATTCTAGGTGAAATTAAGTCATAAGAAATATTTTTACAGGCTTTAGACAAAGACTACATTTTAAGAAATGAGAATAACTAAAAATGCGTTTGTTTTGTCAAACCAGGTTAAAGGTTGTAGAATGTATTCACTTTTCACTGTTTTTTTTCTCCTTAATGACCCAAAAAAAAGGAGTTTAATCTTAGAAAGTGAAGTCAAAGCCTAACTGGGATTTATTCGTTTAGCTGCTTATAATTATGTACAATTAGCGAGAGCATTTAACCTGTTAAGCCCGAGAGGACCCTAATCCGGGTCTGGCGGGTAGTTTTTTCACGAAACTGTGTTTTAGGGCTTCTTAATATTTAAAAACCTATTAATGTGTCATGCTCACTTAACGGTTAGAAACTCAGCTAACTGAAGATATGAACCATTTTCACCGAAACAAAGCACAAGTCTCAAAAGAAAGCAAAAAAATGCTAACGCAGCTAGCACAGAACTCACGGCATAAATACCCTTATTGCTTATCGTAACTGCACATCCAATCCAGCGATTAACAAACTGAGATTCCAGAAATATCAGTATCATCTCTGAGCGATCAGAACTCGCGACAGGGGAAGCAACCACAGACATCACAACACGTAGCTTCACGGAGCATTCACGGGAGATAGTCTCACTTATGCTGTTATTCTGATCAAAAGTCGTGTTCAATGGCATTAAAACGTTAAAAATGCTGCCGAAGGTTAATCCAATGTGTCTGTCACTTTGAAATGATTACTGATAATCCACCATTCCATTTTAATGTCAAAAACGGAGATTTCATATTAGCTGCTAATGATAGCCATCGCAGCTTCCGGTTCAGGGGCATTCTGGCTGCGCATCAGTCATTCACCAATGAGTAATGTTTAGATGGATTTTAGGAACTTCCCCTCGATTCCATTGGTTCTAGCGGTTAAAAAGGTGTCAATCATCAAAATCGAACGAGGGGGGCCAGAGATATGGAAAATCCACCCAAATGACCCCAGAAGTGTTTTTCTATTTTCAAAATCCCTCTAAAAAGGTCAAATGTCACTTGTTTTGTATCCATCTTGATACAGGGTACTTATTATATGTTATAGTTTGGATTCCTAAAGCTTTTAGTCTAACATCCCATCATTCAAGGCTGGTTTTACTATAAGTAATTATTTTATTTTTGACATCCAACTCACAGATGTAACCTTGCTTTGAGAAAAAAGATACCCCCTTTTAGAAGTGAAGATATGGTCATTTGTTGTGGGAATATCCTTTTTTTAGGAATCCAAACTATAACATATAAGTACCCTTTATCAAGATTGATGCAAAACAAGTTGAATTTGACCTTTTTAGAGAGGTTTAGAAAAAGAAACCCACCTCTGGGGTCATTTGGGTGCATTTTCCATATCTGTGGCCCCCCTCGTTCGATTTTGATGATTGACACCTCTTTTGAACCGTTGGGGAAATTAAGTCATAAGAAAGATTTGTACAGGCTTTAGAAAAAGATTACATTTTAAGAAACAAATAATTTAAAATGTGTAGATTGTTGTCAAACCAGGGTTAAAGGCTGTAGAGTTTATTCACCTTTTCCTCCTTAATGACCCAAAAAATGAAGTCAAAGCCTAATTGGGATTTCTTTATTTACTTAGTTATAAATATGTACAATTAGCGAGACATGAAATCATAAATAAAACTACAAAAGAACAAATATTTTTGACAGGTTTCAGACATAGACTACATTTAAGAAACGAGAATAATTATAAATGTGTGCTTTGTGTTTATTCAAACTGTTTAAAGGTTCATTACATTACATCGCTTTTATCCAAAGCGACTTACAATAAGTGCATTCGACCAGGAAGATACAACCTTGAAGAAAACAGAATCATATAAGTACATCAGGTTTCATAGAGCCAAACATTTCAAGTGCTACTCAACTGGCTTTAGATAAGCCAGCCCTTTATTAGTATATAAGTGCTTTGTTAGTAATTCTATCTCTCGAAGTGGAGTCTAAAGAGATGAGTTTTCAGTCTGAAGAAGATGTGTAAGCTTTCTGCTGTCCTGATTTCAATGGGGAGCTCATTCCACCATTTTGGAGCCAGGATAGCAAACCCACGTGTTTCTGCTGATGGAAACTTGGGTCCCCCTCGCAGTGCGGGTGCAGCGAGCTGTTTGGCTGATGCAGAGCGGAGTGCACGTGCTGGGGTGTACGGTTTAACCATGTCCTGGATGTAGGAAGGGCCAGATCCATTCACAGCATGGTACGCAAGTACCAGTATCTTGAAGTGGATTCTAGCAGTTACTGGAAGCCAGTGAAGGGAGCGGAGTGGTGTGGCAACATTTAGGAAGGTTGAAGACCAGACTGCATTCTGGATGAGCTGCAGAGGTCGGATGGCACATGCAGGTAGACCAGCCAGGAGGGAGTTGCAGTAGTCTTTCATGGGAGAAAAAGGTTCCCATTTCTGATTGGCTGGGCGGATTGCAAACCACGCCCCGTAAAACTCCCAAAATGTTTTGTGAAGCCGCCATTTTATTAGCATTATTAGCATTAGCATTAGCCCAGCGCACCAACGCAGAGAGACTAATTTATGGCAACACAGACACCCAGTAAACCCAAAGCAGAAGAATTGACGTCAGCGGCTTCATTTGACTAATCCTCCCCCAGGGACTTATTCCGGTGTGAACGCGATCCGTACTTAGTCCATGAGAACTAAAGAGTTCTCATGAACTAAGTACGGCAAAGTGCTTGGTGTGAAAGCGCCTATTGAGTTCTTTGTAACCAAATGTCTCTCAGAGGGGCGTGGGGAGGGGCTCATTATTTTCATCTAAAGTAACAGACAGAGAATCAGCACTTTGGAAACAGGGCTGAAACAGAGGGGATTATGGGTAATGCTGCAATGATCTGTTTGGTGTTTCAGCCAATCAGAGACAGGCTCTGGATATATCTGAGACCTGTGATATATTGATGAGAAACAGTATGATAGGGGACCTTTAACAGCTGTTCGGTTCCTGTTCTGAGATTGAAAAATCCATTTAATTTCCACAGTAAACGTTAACATATATATTTTTTTGTTTCGTGCTATTGTTTTTACATTTCGGCACAAAACTACCACTTCGAGAAACTGCACTGCTTTTTATTTATTAAAATGTTTAAAATAAGGACTATTTTAATTAAACAAAGAATCAGATTCTGATTGAAAATCTAAGAGGAAGATTTATATTTTTTGGTTCAGAGTGAGGTTTTATTATTCTATTGTTATTTTGTTTTTTTGATTTTTTGCGACACTTTTCTTACCGTGTTTTTAGAAAGTGTACATCCTTTCAAATGACAACCCAACATGTCAATAAATCAGATTTAAAGGTTCCTATTGTTCTTCATCAATATATCACAGGCCTCAGATATATCCAGAGCCTGTCTCTGATTGGCTGAAACACCAAACATATCATTGCAGCATTACCCATAATCCCCTCTGTTTCAGCCCTGTTTCCAAAGTGCTGATTCTCTGTCTGTTACTTTAGATGAAAAATAAGGAGCCCCTCCCCTCTATCCATCCATCCATCCATCCATGCATCCATTGTATATTACTATACTATAATATTCTATATTTTATATTTCTTAAATGTTTGCAAAATTCAGTTATTTTTTCTTTTTGAGTTTATATTGAACACCGAAGCAAATTCATTGTTAGTCAAAACATATTTGACCCACAAATATAATTTAAACTGTAACATTTATTTGATTCCCCCCTCAGAGTGAGACTTCCTCTCGTTTCTCCTCCTCTCTTAACGTCACGGGGAATTTCCAGTGGGGAAGGAAATCAACTTTGTGAAACAGAGAGAGACAAACTTCACCTGCAGGATTTACCTGATCTTTCTCAGGATTAAACAACACCTGCTTTTATTCTCTCGGATTAAAAACCATTTCTCTCCATTGGCGCTAATGACGTCATGACGCACTACAATTAAACCAAATGGATCCTGTGGTTCCAGCATGGCGAAATCATGAGCAAATAAAGTTAACTTCAGTGAAGTGTCACCCATAGTGCATGTTGAGAATCCGACTATTCACCTGACCGAGATAACCAGGTAAGACTAATTAATCACTTTATTATATCACAGCTGTGTGTTTGCATTGATCTCCTTGAATGTAACCGTGACCCGTTACAACTGTGCTTTGTTGTGCTTCACCACTTCCTTATTAGCCAGGTGACTTCAGGGAGAAACCAAACTCTATGTTAAAAATTAGAAATGAATAATGTATTTCTCCTCAGCAAATGCAGGAATGTGTTACATCAACAGTACATATATTTATGGTATATTAGACATCCCCTTGTGAATTCGGCTTGTTTAAACGTAATACTTAGTGTTTCTTTAAATCAGAATTACTTATTTAATGTAACCGTGACCCGTTAAAATAGTGCTTTGTTGTGCTCCACCACTTCCTGATTAGCCAGGTAGCTTCAGGGAGTCAAACCAAACTCTGTGTTAAAAATGAGAAATGTAAGTCTACTTTGTCTCTAGCAAATTCAAGAATATCCTACACAATCAATAAAGATATCTATGGTATATATGACATCCACTCGTGACTTCGGCTTGTTTAAATCTAGTATTTAGTGTTTATTTAACGTTTAACCTCAGAAGACTCAAGTGTTTTCCTTTGTAGATTTGTGATTTTGCTTAACTTCTACTAAATAAAAAGTTACGAGTTCTTATTTACTAATACTCTTTAATCTTATAGTAAATTCAAGTTGATTTCTCTTGAAGCTCCCAGTTAGCTGTTAGGCTTTAGGGAAGTCACACCAAACTGTAATAAGAATTTAAAGTTGTATTTGTCCCCAGCAAATGCAAGCATGTCTTACACCAAAAATAAAGATAATTATGTTTTATGTGACGGCTACTTGTGAATTCGGCTTGTATAAATAAAGTATGAAGTGTCTATTTTTTATCGTTATCTCTTACTTTAATGTGACTATACCTTCGTTTGCTGGATTTCCTTCCGCGATCTGCAAAAGACAGTGTGGAAAATGCTGAAGTTTTTATTTAAACTTCGGTATAATGTTGATTTTACACACGCTGAATTAAAGACAAGATCCACCTGATTGTGAAATGTACTCATTTCTGTTTTTGAGCTAGAGTCTCTGATGTGAAAAGTGAAATATCATTTTAAACTTGCAAAATTATGAACTGAGTTTGGTGTTACGTTTCACCAAACTTTGTGTTAAAAAGGAGAAATTAAAGTTGTATTTCTCCCTAAGCAAATGCAGTAATGTCTTACATCAGAAATATATATTTATGGTATATATGATATCCACTTGTGAATTCAGCTTGTTTAAATCTAGTATTAAGTGTTTATTTAAATCAGAATTACTTCTTTAATGTAACCGTGACTCGTTACCAGTGCTTTGTTGTGCTGCACCACTTCCTGATTAGCCCGGTAGCTTCAGGAAGTCACACCAAACTATGTGTTAAAAATTAGGACTTAGAGTTTAGTTTCTCGCCAGAAAATACAACAATGTCTTACATCAGAAATATAGATAGATATGGTTTAATTGACATCCACTTGTGAATTCGGCATTTTTAAATCTAGTATTAAGTGTTTATTTCCATCGGAATTACCCATTTAAAAAGTGAAAAGCCTGTTAGCTGTTTGCCCCATTCAGGATATTCTGCAACACGAATCAGACACTCAAACAGTTACTGAACTTGAGTCCCTTTTGTAGATTTGTTAACTTTAAATCACATTTTGATTTATAAATGCTCGATTTAACGACACAAACAACAAAAACAGTGACGTTGTGTTGCTAACTGTTAGCCAGAGAGCTAGCACAAGTCACACAGGCGCGTTCATGTGCAACTGCGGGAACGCGCGGTGGCAAGCAGCAACAAGTGTCAGGAGTTATTTATTAAATACATAATAATTGTTATTGTTTATTTATTGAAAAAAACAATTTTTACTCAAGTTAAGGATGGTTAAGTTAAACATTTAAAAGTACTTTTTTTAAATAATAATAAATAAATAGATTTCAAAAGTACATGAATAATACAATTTAAATAATAGTAGAAATACAATGTAAAAACGGTATTATTAATCAAAGAAAGAATCCATGAATGATTATAAATGCAAAATATATGAAGGGTAACGCTTGCATTATGGTTATTCATAGACTTTGTATTCCCCCTGTGTTTCTAAACGTTGCGGGTGTAATTGTTTGACCTTTGCCCTGCAGACACCATGGCTGCAGACGACCACTACCTGCACACCTCCACTCAGGTAAACTCGTTAGCAGAAAAGTGAATCAAAATAACATAATACAATATTGAAAGTCATCTTCTGCAAAAAACTCATCTTTTACCTTATTTTATATAATTTTTATTTATTTTTACTATGTTTATTTAAAATGAATTATTGTTTACACATTATTATTAATATGTGTCTGTTATATTTTGTCTATATGGCATAACTGTTAGAAAATACTGTCAAAAATGTGATTATTATTTTACTTTCCGGTCAGATCTTTGAAAATCTCATGATGGAGCCGCCCTGGGAGTTCACTCACTTCCCCGGGATGTCCCAGACGACGTCTCTGAGGACAGGTGAGTCCCACCTGCTGCTGATAAACCTTTTATTTAACAGCTTCACAGCTTTCCTCACCTGCTGCTCCAAAGTCCACTCAGCTGCTGTTTGTTTGTTGACCTTAAACCAACTTCTCAAACTTTCAAGGCTTTAATGGTCATGTGTACACAGCTATAGTGTAGATATGACAATGAAACTCTGAGGTCACAGGCTCCTCCAACAGCGCAACACAATTTCAATCAGGAGAGACGGTGTTGATGAAAGAATACATATTTATTGCCAGGAATACACAAATGAATGTGATGGAGTTTTGGCGATTAGGCCCCGTTGTGCAGGAGTATCATTCGGGAGGGGAGAACAGATCCGATGAAACCCCCCGGGGTCTAGACACTGGTGGTGGTGAATGGATAGTTGGGGTCGGTCTGAAGGGGAGGGGCTTAGCTTGACCCTGGTGGTGGTGAATGGATAGTTGGGGTCGGTCTGAAGGGGAGGGGCTTAGCTTGACCCTGGTGGTGGTGAATGGATAGTTAGGTTCGGTCTGAAGGGGAGGGGAGCTTGACCCTGGTGGTGGTGAATGGATAGTTGGGGTCGGTCTGAAGGGGAGGGGCTTAGCTTGACCCTGGTGGTGGTGAATGGATAGTGCTTGACCCTGGTGGTGGTGAATGGATGGTTAGGTTCGGTCTGAAGGGGAGGGGCTTAGCTTGACCCTGGATTCAGAGGGACAGGAGGTGAAAGGGGGTTGGGGTCGGTCTGAAGGGGAGGGGCTTAGCTTGACCCTGGTGGTGG